ATTCAAAACCTGATTCTTAATCTTTTCCCTGAATCAAGACCAGGTCTTTACTGGATACCCTCTCACACTGGAATTGAGGGAAAGGAATGTGCTGACTCACTAGCAAAACAAACTGCAGTGGTTACATCTCTTCCTTCTTACTCACTTCCGCTACCAGGCTCAACCTGAAAAAAATTACCTTGCAAAATCTTATGAACCAATGGCAAAATCATCAGAACACCTTTGACAACAAGAAGACAAACCTTTCAATTTCTATTAAAGGTATTTGTGAATATGCTTTCTTACTCTTCAGCACTTACTACTTTCTTAACAGGTCATGGACCTTTTCCTACATATTTATACAGATTTGGACAGAAATGTGTTAGTGTCGACAACAAGGCCATCCATACCATTATGCCTGCTCGTGCACTTTAAGTAGCCTTTTTCATCTATACAAACCTTTAGGCCAATATTGGAAGCAATGGACCTTGCATGTAATGAAATACCCAAATGCACATAAAAAAGTAGTGAATATTTTGCATTTCTGTAACACAAGCAATTTTTAAATTTCAGTACTTGCTTATAATTACTTTAAGAGTTATTTGCAAAACCGATTTGTATAAATTTCTAGCTTCTGAAGCCACTTCTCGAACTCCCCAAGGTTTTCTAATGAGCGTAGATTGACATTCCCTTTCACTTGCTGCATTAATTAATCCTACTTTGTATATTTTAATGTAGTTTTGTTTTTATAACAGTTTTATAACAGAGTTTGGATTTTTATAACAGTACAATGATGTTTTAACTAATTCTTATGTAAGTGTTATTTCATGTACTCTTCACCTTAATATATGCACATTTTTTAAACAATACTGTACTGTTGACTTTTCATTATTAAAGCCCACAGAAGAGCTAAAATATTACATTCTTCTAGAAAATCTCTGTTGTCTAACTATGTCAGTTGTATTACTGATATTTTGGTAGAACATTTATATCTTAAACTTAGCTGAAATTGTGTACTTTGATTGTTACAGTACTTTGAATGATATTTTGACTGCTATGGTATATATCCACTCTCTCTGTTATATATGACAGATAATTAATAGCAAGAGTTTGTTTGACTGAAAGTTTCTTTTTTATAGTCATGTTATGTAGCGATATTTTGAAAAGATGTTTATATACTTATAATTTGTGACTTTGTAAAATTATTTGAATTATGAACAATAAGTACCACTGATTTGTCGGGCTTAACTTGACAGTGGCGGCAGCTGGTAGTGGATCCCTTCCACTGTGTAGGGATTATTCCGTTAGGTTATATCTTAGATTGGAAGCCTACGCAGTGGTGACAAACCTACTGAGCCAATGTTGTTCTTGTTTTGTATTATGCATATCATTTTGAAATGAAGATCACTTGTTGTTTGTTGGTGTGTCTCTCTGTTTGGCGAGTTTCATCACTTTCTGGCCACTCCTTCTTGGTGTCGCATTTTCAATGTTGGGTAATGTGTGTGGATAATATGAAAAGATATGTAAAGCACACATCTGATTTTAATTTGCAATAGTCCCTTAAAATTTTAAATAATTTAGATATTTTCCCTTTGCATCCTTTACATATTACAAACTGAAAATCAGTTTACCAGTTATAATGATGGCAAGCCCTCACAATTTTTACTCCGAATTGTATTTCAACAGTGACAACATATGTTGGTTAAAAAGGCTATAAAGAGACTGGTTATGAAGTTTTCACTTTCTCCTGTTTTCTTCTTTGAGTGTACCTTCGCATACATGGATAAAGGGTGCAAGATATGTATGGTAATTTTTCTTCTATTTGGCATCACCATTTTGTTAAGCAAATCCTCATGCTTCTTCATGTTTTTTTTATTTTTCATGTCTGTGAAAGTATTTAACATTTGCCATCAGGATTTTCTTCATTGCATTGATGCTAAGATGAACCTTTCCCAATTTTGGAATTGTACCTAATGGGAAATTCTCTCCATCATAATCATGAGATCGACCTAACAGCACATTTTGCTAAAAAAATAGTTCCACATTTTTCATTCCTGTCAAATCCTATGTATTCTCCAAGCATTGCATCGAAAGTGACTTTTGCAATGTTTCAAGATTTCATTTCCTTTGATGTGCTGTTCTTCTAAACAATGAACTCATGAATATTATTTTGTGACTGTGCTATGCAGATTTGTTATGACCAAATATTTATCATTACAGTTTTAAGGTTCTGAATAAATACATGTTTTACAGGTGATGATATTATATGTTTGTTTTTGGTACTATACATGTCGATATTTATCTTTTATCTAATTTTAAGTGGTTAAGGCACAACAGAATTGAAATCGTAACATTCTCTTTTATTTGGGTTGTTTTGGTACCAATGCATAAAAATAAATAAAACATCTAACCTTAAATATTTCACTAGCAGTTTTGCTAACATGACTTCAAATTTAAAACATTTTAATAATCTCTCCTTTTTTGGCTTATTACTGTCTTAAAGTTTACAACACCTTTACCAAAACCTTTTTTTATTTTCAATTAGGCATCCGTCTTAGATTACAACACAAAAATCACATAAATTCACCTGCAAGACTATGTAGAAATCAACAAGGGCACAATAGCTAAGCTCGGCAAGGTGAGTTCGAATCCTGGTGAGGGCATTGCACATTTTTCATGTTCCTGGATAGATATAAACTAATGACTCTGCAATGAATATTTAAATTTGCTATTACTGCAGGTTACTTTTTCTGTCATACTTCAACACCTACCTTAAACCACTCCCAAATTATTACATGTGTGTGTTCATGCATGCTTTTGTAAAAAACTGCACTGCTGCTGAAAAACATCATGCAGCTTATAGTTAAGCATTAAATTATATTAAGTGTCACCTTGGGGTTGATGCTTTATAATTGGCTGCAAAATGCCATCTACATACATACATACAAGCCCTTAGATTGCCTTGCAACACAATTGGAGGGATTAGGTTTCCCTATAAATAGTTTCCATCCTGCCACACCAAATTTAATTGCCATGTTCCATTTCACTACAAAGGCTCTTCTGTATACATATAAATAGCAGTCATCAGCATTGAGATAGAGGCAGGATTCGTTGATGAAGAAAAATCCCTTCTAACTAATTATTATTCAAGATAACGGAATTCAACACCAATTACATCTTCACTTGTACTGAAAGGTCAGCAGTAGCCTTCTTTAAGATTCAGCTACTGCCAGTAAGCTCCAAATAGGATCTTTGTCTTAGAGCATCTGTAGCCTCTGCATTGCTTACATGTAATTCCTCTGATTCACTGTTGCCAACACTAAACAATTATCATATTGCTTCAACCAGGATAGCAACTGATACATCTGTGCGACCAACTTTCTTCTCACAGACTTATAATGTTGATTATATCTAAATCAGACAATTGTTTATAATGCCATCAAATATGTTCAAAGGCATTTTTGTTCATAGTTTGCAATACTGCAGTAGAGAATCTAATTAAAATTCCTCGTGAGTGAGAACAGCAGTCCTTTTAAATGTTGACTGATGTGCTTTTCTCATGAGTGTTGAATGAGCCATATGGCATCATTGATACTGAAATTCCAACCATTTATAAACTTTCAAATAGCTTTGCATCCTGAGTTTCATAGTTGTAACTGAATTTTTTTAACTTATACATTCCGTTTTATGTGGAAGGTTTCATAAAACTGCAGCAGCTGAATTTTATATACGTTATGTAAAAATGGTATATTGGAAAAAAACAAACAGCTTTTTTTTTTAATTATTTTTATTTTACTTTGTTTGTTTCACTGATCATGGCAAAGCATGCAAGGGATATCTGTTTGAATGAAGGAATATATTCATGGAGAAACCATAAAAATGCCCTTTACTAGTATTCAAACCAAAGTTGGATCAGCACTATTTAATTTTATCCACTGAACCAGTAATGGGCTCATTTAATGTACAGTATTTGTTAAGGTGTTCCAAATAACTTAAATAAATAATAAAAATAAGTAAATATTTTTAAAATAAGTATTTTTATTTTTTAAAAGTAGCTTTTTAGCTTACCCTGTCCTTTTTCCATTCTTCTGATATCAGCTTTTAATCCTATAATTTTAAATACAGATTGTTTGTGCAATGTGTAATTATGTACTAGTCATTTATAATACGATAATTAAGGTAATATCATTAGAATTCTATAAATATTTTATGCAGTTATATAGTCCTGCTATAATTTTTCCAACTACATTCTCTGCACTTAAGTTTTCTGTTGAAATAACTCTTCTTCGGATATCATTTGAGATGAAAGATCACACAGTCAGATATGCATAAAAGTTCATAATGCTTTGTATCTAAAATAGCATTTCAAAGTATGCGTACCTTTTTATGCATCCTTTTTGTGGTGCATCATTAATTGTCTAGTCTATCTGTCACAAAAACCTTTTTATCAGCCACTATTCTTTTGACATATTTCATAATTTTTCATTTGTAATTTACAAATTATATACTTGGATTATATACCATATTATACATACTACTTCTTAATAAATACACAACAATTTAAAGTATATGTATATTATCCTGTTCCTATAGGATCTGATGCATCAGCAATCAAATTTTGGCACTGGTTGAACATTTTCACAAACCATTAAGTTAACAATTATATTTAATTTCTAATGTGTTAGAATTTGCATTCTATAAAAATGCATGGTGTTTGATACCAATTAAAAATTTTGGTCATTTTTCTTCATTGAATAAATAAATACTGATACTGAGTGATTTTCAAAGAAAAATTATCATATAGAATGGTAGAAAATTATTTGCACTAAGCTATTAAGTGGTTAATCATTGGTACAAAACTGCTATTTAGTAGAGCAAACATTTCTAGGAACAGTCTCTTATGTTAACAATTTTTATAAATGATTATGCAAATATTAATAAATTCTTTACTTGCATTGCATATCTAATTATATATACTTTTTGGAGTATATTAATAGCTCCAAATTTTATATGCTTTACAGGAAGATGTAAATAGAAGCTTTCCACTTACATATTTGTTGAAAGGTGCTTACCAGAATGTCCTAGTAAATGTGATTTGTATTGTGGCAAACTTATCCTTGGATATAAATGAAGTATGTGTTTTGTATTTAATTATTTTTTAATTCTGTCTCCCTGCTGCCCAAGGGGACAGTTTTTTTACTGTAAAATGTGTGGCAAAAAAAGACTTAAAATAATAGTTTAATAATAGTTTAATATATAATTAAACTATTATTTATAATTATATGTTTTCTTTTGTGATAAAATAATACAGTTTACTGTGGTACTGATGTTATTTGCAGTAAAATAGGATTTTTTTAAATTCACATTAATTATTTGTAAAATACAGTAAAATATCTCATAACTGGCAGCACTGGGAGCTTGCTGATTTTAGATAATTGAACATATATTTCTAGAATTAATGTTTTATGATGCCATCTGTCGCAACTGCAGCATGTGAAGTCTGTTGATCCTGTTTCTCGATCTATTGGTGACAATTAAATAAAAGCAGCAAAAATTTTTTTAAATTTTGAAATTACCATATGTATTATCCCATTAAAGTTACAAATTTCTTAGTGTGATTGAGTATAACTTCAAATATCTGCCTGTTTACAAGATTTCCATTGTAGTTTTAAAAATTTACTATAGTATATGCAATAAAATTTCATAACATCATATGCTGATATAGATGAGGATTTCTTGGAGAAATTTTTGAATTTCTTCTAGTTTTCATCAGCTTCCTTCTATGTAACTTTCTTGCTTTACATATTGCCTTCTTCCTCCTCCTCCTCATCATCATCTTCATCTTTGGATGACTTTGACACAAACAGAATTGTTTGCATCCACTTCATCACCTCTTCACTAAGCCTACATCATCTCTTCACTAAAACTAACCTTTTCCAAATATATAACTGAATCCAAGATGTTATTTACAGGCATTAGACATGTTTTATAACATAAAGAATCTTTATTGTTCAGCTAGTCATCTATGAACATGATTATAGGTCACAATTTATCAAAATAGTCGTATAAAGTAATGTTCTTTATATTTGTTCATGCAAGAGGCAAAGTAAATCTGCCGTCTTTCAATGTAAAATGTTTCTGAAAATCATCGACACTACCTTCAATGTTCCAGCATATAAAAAGGGATTGGTAGTTCATATTGTAGGTAATTCCTTCATTAGGCTAAGGCTTGTTACAATGGACAGGAGAATCATAACATAAATATTTTGTACATTTAAACCTTTCACTTGTTAGCTTACTACTTATTTTTATAAAATAGGTCTAAATTTCAGATTTAAATTTAGACTTTTAAAAATGCCATTATTTTTATATTGCTGGTTAATTAGATGCTGGTTACAAGATATTTTATTGTATACAGCTTATTACAAAAGAAATCAGTAATATTTTTAATTTTTTTAAAATAGAGAACTTAAGGAAAATCAATGGTACTGTTCTGTTATCGGGACTTGATTCAGAAATGTATGAATGTATGCACTTGCATAGTATGTATATGCATATATGTGTATATGTATATACACACATACATTCAATCATACATAAAACATACATCTATGCATACATGCATATCTGGATCTGTTCCTGATAACAGAACAGTACCAAATAAATGCCTTCTCAGTATTACTGATCAAATTATTAATTTCATATGAAATAATATATGAAAAATATAATTTGATCTGAAGTGATATAAAACTATGCAGTGAAACACAGTAGATGTAAGAGAATGATACCATTTGGACTAAAATTAAGCTGATTCAAACTTAGATTAGCATCAATTGTAGAGAAATGCTGTATGCATTTTGAAAAAATTGTTAAGAGTTTCCTTCTTCTTCAAAGAGCCAAATTTAGCAATTAAACCAGATCTTTAGCCCTTAAATGCAGAATAATTATCTTAAATTTATAGATTTCTATCAAAGCTGGTAAGAGTAATGTGAGAAACAAAACTACATACTTTTGATAGAGGTCTGTACAGCTGTGCCAGAAAAGAACCTTCAGCCTTTCATGTACCAAAGTTAAAACTGAGTGCCATGATAAACAGATACAGCAAATGTCTGAGAATCTAACCATTTTCAGGACTTAGGCAATGCTATATAATAAAATACACTAGATTATCAACTTAAAATCTTATTACCATGGATAATTGTTTTCACATTATCAAATGAAGAATGAAAAAAATGCATATAGTAATTTTGCAAATTATTTGATGATGAAAACTAATTAGAAAATAAAGTTATCAATAGTTTAATTATATTTAATGTGTTTCTACTTTTAAATCATTATTGACAGCTCATGAAATATTTCCTAATACTTCATAGATTCCTCTTTAAAAAACAAAAGAAATATTCTTTAGAGACATAATATTAATTTCTCCAAAGTTATAATTTTTTTAATGAAAAATTAGTGAAATTTCAAATATATTTAATGCTTTACAAGCCTCATGCCTAGTGATCTTGCTTGAATTTTCTTTTTTGTCAATGACCATTTCTTTTGCTACCTTGCTATCTGTAAATACATTTTGAATTATGATTTTATAACTTAACTCTTCCACAGTTGGTTCATTTTTATCACTTTCAGCTTATGCAATAATGTCATTTCCTGAAAACATGGATAATGGATTATTTGAATGAAGATAACTGTTGTCAGTAACTCAGAGTGAATGGTCATTGGATCATTTATTTTCACCTTCTTCAACAGAATTTTGATACATAGCATTTAACCACAATTTCCAGCAAGTATTTTGTAATGTGTTGTTTCTAAGTAACAGTAACAGTAAAAATTGCATCTTTTACATTAAACTGATCTTGGAAAACTGAACTGCAATCAGAGTTTAATAAATTTTGCACAGATGAATTCCTCTATTGACATTTAAAGTTTAAAATAATTTTTTAATCTTTAGGTTGGATTAAAGTCATCAAATTTAGTGGAAAATATGATACAATAATGTTTACTGATACTATTTCAAAGGCTATAAGATGTATTCTAGAATTGTCCAAAAGGTCTTTAGAGTTGTTCAGAAGACCAAGCTTTTCAAATTTATTTTTAACAGAAGTTGCAGAGGGTTGGTAAAATCGATCTTTGAATATCTCTTCAATTATACAAGCATTTGATTAAGTTTTATAAATGACAAGCAAATAAATGACACCCTGAAATTCCCTCACTTCATTTTTAAGCATATAAATGAGATCCTTAATTGCTGTAGGTATTCTTAAATTCCACATAATAAGGGTTTTAAATTTATGTCTTAGAAGCAATACTTTCAGAAAATAATATAAAGTGCGAAGTACGAGATCCAGAATCATTAAGACTTTTGTGTTTCTTTTTTTCAGAAATTTCTGTATTTTAGATCATCAGTTTAAATCTAGTAAGATGACATGTAGAAATTATAAAATTAGAAAAAATGAAATATTTATTTCTGAAATAATAAAGCTTTCATGACCTTAAGGGAATCAAATCTACAAAATGAATTTATTTATTTATTTATTTATTTTTCTTTTTATTACATTTCTTTCACTATAAGTTGTTTAAGTTTCTTCTTTTTTTTTATTAGTACTTTCGCTCTAATTTTATATGTAGACATAATTTCTTGTTCATTTACTAAGTCCCATTGTTTAAGTTCTATAATTGGCTTGACAAGAATTCTCACTAAATTCTCATTGAAATAAATGTCTCTGAAAAGTTAAAATCTTTTCATTCTCAAAAACCTCTTTGTCACTTTCTTTACTATTGATAGTGATATTTTGTGGATTTAGAACTGTTCTACAGAATCTGCCATCCATTAGTTGATTGATATTAGGACATTGTCATCACAATGTAATAAATACTTCTGTTATATCATCATCATTTATTAATTCTCCACATATCTTCACAAATTCAATTAGTGAGAAAAGCTTGTCTTTTGCTTGTGATAATTGAAAACTTTTAAATTCATAGCATTATCACCATGAAATATGATAACTGGCCATAAATTATGCCTGACAGTTTAAAAAATATCTGCAGATATATTTTCCCATGACCTTGCAATGCTCTACACAGCAAATTTTGTGTTAAAATATTTCAAAACTCTTGAATGGCCTTGCCATTATTCAGAAAATTTAGCACAAATTTTAAAAAGGCTATTTTATACTGGAATTTCACCTTATGTTGTTTCCAGTACCTGTTGACTGAATGATAGATGTACAGTTTGGAGGAAAGAATAAGGCATAGAAGTTATCTTTTACTAAAACTTTAAATGAAGTACAACTTAAACAGTTTTCTATAATCAGGACATTTATTTGCATCATTTGGTTGAGGCATTGCTGGATGAGTCAATTTCTCAAGTTGTCATGAGTTGATAGTCATATGGCAGTGATTGTGTCTCTTCAACACAGAGGTGTTTTATTTAGTGTTAAAGTGAAATCACATAAAATCAAGTGCTGGGATATGAAAATATGCCTATTGTGTATGCATGAAGCATTAAGCATATGCTAAAGTGAGACAGTACTCTTGGAATCTCATTTCTTTCTCCCATTCCGGCTATGTCAATAAACATGCATATGCATTCCAAACAAATATGTGTTGGAGTTTCATTTATTATTTATGTCAAAGAGAAAAATGCTAGTCTCTCCCAGAATCATTCAAGGGTTGAAAGTATGGTTGTTGCAATAGTCAATACAATGTCAACAAATATATTGCCATTGGCCAAATGTCCCTAGTTAACTGGTGCTTGAAAGTAATATGTAGAAATTTCAGTTAGTCGGGAGAAAAATTGCTTTTGTGGAACATCTGTTTTTCCTTGAGTATATTCTTTCTTCTTGACATTGTTAAGAAATAAAAAGTTTTTTGGTCTGAAGGTCTAAATATTTTAACATTCCCAGATATTGGATGTCCTGATTTCAGGGTTTTATCTTGCAATCAATCCATTCTTTAAAATCTTTTGCACACTTCCTTTTTGAATCTACCAGTTGAACTTCAGTACATGAAACTATTGGAATTATCCAAAATTTACAAACTCCTTGTCACAAGATGTTCTGGGGTTTAATTCTGGGGAATTATCTTGAGACTTAAGAGTTTAAAATATAATATGTTCAGTGTGTGACCCTTGCTTGGCACGGGCATGGCACAACTTGAGAACAAAACTGTGGCACAATTTGCCAAACAAAACAGTCTCTTCAACATATATTGTTAAGAGTAATTATAAGAGTAAATTATTCTGGGTTACAAATGAAATTAGCTTATATTTATGTACAACATCTTTATCAGCAAATTTTATCTTATCTGAAATATTTATTTATGCAGAATTTAATTTATAGACCCTGAGAGTCATTGCACATTATTTGAAAATTATGTGTTGTTCAAAGGTGATTTGAATGCTAATTTCTGTTATTTAATCTTTTTACTGTATTAAAAAGGTATAGAGAATACAAATTATTAACATTGACAGCCAAACCTGTTTAAAGAAATCTGATCTGATTTATCCGATCAGATCCTTTATTATCCGATCCTTTATTAAAGAATCTGATCTGATTGTGTTTTGTTCAATCTATTGTATAGAATTAAACAAAAAGTGTTAAATTTTTATTCCAATTTCAGATTTATTTCTTTTAGAAAGAAGTGCTTTCAAATTATGCCATGGTTGGGCACTTCTGAACGAGGAGTAATTTGTACCCATCACAGCAATTTTCATATCGAATATACGTTGCTCGACATTGAAAATGCAACACCAAAAAGAAAATGGTCAGAAAGTGATGAAATTTGGAAAAAAGACAGAGACAGCAAGCAGCAATAAATGATCTTTATTTCAAAATGATAGTTAGAATGCAGAGCGAGAACGGCGTCGGCTCAGTAAGATGTAGGACCATTGCGGACAGTAATGCACGAAGAAACATGTCTAGGCATAGAGTCAATAAGAGTGCGGATGGTGTCCTAAGGGATGGCTTTCCATTCCCTTTCAACCATTTGCCACAGTTCGTGTTCTGAACGAGGCAGGGGCAGAGTCTGCAAACAGCGTTCAATCACATCCCACACATGTTCGATTGGTGACAGGTCAGGAGAGTAAGGTGGCCAAGGAAACATCTGTATACATTGCAGAGCATGTTGACAGATGCGAGCACTGTGTGGTTGGGCTTTATTCTGCTGAAAAATTGCATTAGGCAGCCTCTGAAAAATAGGGGATTGCCACTGGCCGCAGTACATTATCCAAGTATTGTTGGGCTGTCATAGTGCCCTGAATACGAACTAGAGGTGACCTGGAATTGTAGGCAATAGCGCCCCAAACCATTATGCCACGTTGTCATGCGGTGGGGCTTTCCTTAGTTACTGCCGGATTAGATCTGTCTTCACGTCGACGCCACACACGTATGCGGCGACTGTCACTGGATAAACAGAAGCGTGACTCATCTGAGAACACGACGTTTCGCCATTCTGTCATCCATATCGCTCCAGTCCGGCACCATTCTAAAAGTTGGTGTCTATGCTGTGGGGTCAATTGCAGTCTTCTTAATGGACGGTGTAAGTGCAGGCCATGTTCAACCAATCGACGGGAAATGGTTCTGGTCGACATGGGAACATCCAGGGTATATTTCACATGCTGCAGAAGCATGGTACAAGTGACTTGCAGGACCGCCACAGCTTGTCGGCAGATGCATCGATCTACGCGTGCTGATGTCACTCTGGCTGCACCTGCACTCCTCCTTCTTCCCACATTTCCTTGTTTCAACCATGTTCGCCATAGCCGATGCACCGTGGTCGTATCCATATGGATATCAGCTGTGATTTGACGCAAGGACCAACTCGCCTTTGTCAATCCAATCACCATACCCATCTTAAAATCGTCTATCTGCTGGAAGTCCCTTCGTTGAGGCATCTAAAATCAACAACCCAAACTTTACAATCAGTACTGTCAAGCATTTTAAATTCTGAAGTAATAAATATGCACCAATCAAAAAAAATTTTACGTTGGAAGACATGCTGGGTAAAATGACAAGCAAAAGAAATGAATGTTATCTTTAAATTAACAACAAAAAAATCTTGACAAAAGAAAATACATAGTAAGTCATGGCCATTCTCTCCTATTACACGTATCCTCTGGGACAAAAAACAACTTTCTTTAATAATTCGTCTGGCAGAAATAACGACACACGTATTGCCCATTCTGCACGTTCCTTCCCTTATATCTTACTTCATGTGCATCGGAGAGCTGTGCATTTCACATCATTTGCATAACTCAGTGATGTGCGTCTACACTGAAATTTGTGACCACTCCTTCTTGGTGTTGCATTTTCAATGTTGAGCAGTGTTTACATACATGATACATACACACTTACCTTTTTTTTGGGGGGGGGTAGAGCTAAAAAAAGTATAATTAAATCCGTAAAATTTAGACTACTATTGACTATTGATCTCATTTCTCATTGGAAATAAGTTGCCAAAAAGCTGTTAGAAACTAAAAAAGTCTGAATTTCATTATTAAAGAGTATGCTTTCCACAGAAAAAAAAAAAGAGGCATGTTGTGTTTGTACCACCCAAAAAAGATGTTGAGAAACACAATACTTTTCCCTAGTATATGAAGGGAAGCCTATAAGAATCTGAAACAATCTGAATTTCATTACTTGAAAGCATACTTTCTTCAGGGAAAAAAAAAAAAAAAAAAAAAAAAAAAAAAAAAAACAAGGCAACAAAAATAAAGACATGCCATGTTCCATGTTTGTACCACCTTAAAAAGATGTTGAAAACACAATATTTTTGCCTAGCATATGAAGAAAAGCCTCCTTTATTGCTTCAAAATATATTATAATTAAAATTTACTGTTGTGATCATGTGTAGTTTACTTTTTTACATTTTGAAAATATTTATCAATCAAACCTTGTATAAAAAATAAATAAATCCTTTTTGGGATGCCCACTTAAACAGATGCTGAGCCTGTAAAGTTCCCATGTATTTACAATGTATTAAAGAAAGGTGGACACCAAAAATCCATTTAATAGAAACAAGATGACTGTTGATAGAAGACTACCAGCAGACAGCTAATCACATATTGTCATATGGTTGGCATTTAACATGTTAAGAAGAAAATGAAATGTAAACTAAAAAAACTTTAAAATTTTTAAATGCTATATCAAAAACTGACTGTAAAATTACACCTGTTAAATTTTTGCATGTCATTATTAATCATTTGATTTCTCATATTTTGTATGTTTATAATGACATCCTCATTTTGAAAATTCTTTTGCATGTATGTGTTAATTAGTATTTCTACTATAATAAAACTAATTTTATTTTTAAAAAATATTGTGTAGCTGAACAAAATGAAATTACTGAAACATTTTTGTTTTCATTATAAATTAATATCAGCAGTGATATTCTTTTTTTCGTTTCTTTTAAGTATAAAAAAATTTCACTTAAGATAATTAAATTCAGTTTGTTCTGTGTAGAACTATGTACATCAGTATGTAACTGGCTTATGTGAATTGTTGAATTCTCTTAATGAAGAAAGTGAGGAGATGTATATACACCTTGGAAGAGGCCTTGCAAACTTTGCTGAAAATCCTGCCAATACTTTGCACATGGTAATTTTTTTAAATTTATTTTCTTAAATGTAATTTTTATGTACATTGTTTAATATTTGTTAATTTTTTTAATTCAGCCATGTAAAAGAAGCCAAATTTTGAAATTTCTGAAGCAAATCGGTACTTCCTTATCATTACAGATCCCATTTTGTAAATGGTGCCAAAATTATAGATACATCACCAAAACAAACCAGCACCAGATGGCTGGCAGTCCGAACTACAATCATTTATAATTTGCTTATGACAAGAAGAGCTGTGATTAAGCTACATATTATCATATTTTCTTTTTTCATAGAAATGATAACAATTCATGATCACTCATAAATTCTCTTATCATTAAGATCTCTGAATATTCCACATGTTAACATATTTTCTTAAAAAAAATTTGATTTACCAAGAAATGAAGAAGGTGCTATATCTTGCTTCCAAAAAAGACACATTTTCCCTCTTCGATATGCAAAAATGACCATTAAATGAAATTACATATTAAGAAAAGCATTTGGTGATGAAACATGAACAGTTGTTAGTGAAGAAAAAAACATATCCTTTAACTTATGCTGGCTTAGTTGTTTCATACTATACTATTACTCTTAACTATTTGTAACAGTGCAGCAATTTATTTTGTGTTGGGTAGAACTGACGTCGAATAAGTGGAGGGAGAAGCATTTCAACCTTATCTCAAATACAGGTATTGGCTGGCACAGTTTTATGACGGAGCTGTACTCTCTAAATCTATTCTAATAACAAATTAAAAAAAAAAAAAAATAGGTAGCCCTGAAAAAACGTATGGGCATAAACAAAAATCTGTTTGCACAGGGCAAAAAGGGGAGAGTCTTCTAAGATACTGGATATTTGGCAGATTATGCCAAGAGACTAGTAAATTTTTTCTTGCTTATGTCCTTAATAGAAAGCCAACCATACTTATGGAGAAAATTCCATCAAGAGACATTTATGATTCATTCAATGTTGACCAGCATGTAAAATACAGGAACTAAAAACAGCAGGCTCCAGATATTTTCCTGTGAATCATAAATTTCATTTTGTTGATCCAACAACAGCTGCTCATACACAAAATGTTGAAAGACTGTGGCACTTTGTTAAGTGGCAGAATAAAAGTCAGTGAGATACAGTTTGTTGTCATCATGAGTCTCATCTTGCATAGTTCATGAAGCAAAAGTCCTTGGTGTAAGAAAATTCTTCTAATGGCATATTATTAAAAGCAGGCTTGGAAACACAGTAGCCACGAATTGTGTGTGGGAAGTAAATATGAACTTGGCGATAATCCTAGCACCAATCTAGCATTTAAGAAACATGGCCTGTGATAATAAAGAAGTACCAACAAACCTCTTGTTTATTTTCAGTAAAAGCTCAACTACCCAGAAAGCTTGGGAAATGCTGGATATGTGAAAATTCCAGACAGTTGAATGTAATTCACAGTATAAAAGTCACACGAATAGAAGAAGTTTTAATTCATAGTATAAAAGTCGCACAAATAGAAGAAGTTTTAAGTAATAAAGAAAAGTAAATAAATCCTTACAACTGAAGTATTTAAGGTGAAGAATTTTCAGATTTGCATTACATTAAAGTCTGTAAGCATAATATTGTGTCTGTTACCTAAACAAATTATTGTTGCATTTTTCATTTCAGTATTAATTTCTGGAAAATAAATTGATTAAAAAGAATTATACACTATATATGTTAAATTTGTGGTTAAAGAAAAGAATCCTAAAGTGAGAAATTGCAGAAATTAAGGTAAATTCAATGATTCCTCTACAAAAATTCTTAGTGCTCTTGTTTGGAAATGAAAACATGATCTTCCAATAATCTGTTTTTTGTGTACTAAACTGAATTATGCCATATAGCACAGAGAAGAATGTTTTGATTCTTTACAGATTTGCTGTTTTAAAAATGCTTTAGTTTTATAAAAAATGTAATGAATTTATAAAAAATTTCATTGGCAAATTGACTGCATATTAAATTTTAAGCTGATAACAAGTTTGTTATTTTTAAATTTAGGAAATATTGTAACGATAAATATTCACAAAAAAATTAAGTTTATTAAAAAAAAAATGAAATAGAAAATTTTTATTTTGAACTGTGACCATAAACATTTGCTTCAAATCAATTACAGATTTAAAAGACAAAAATGTAAAATTATTGAAAATACCAAGACTTATTCCATGAAATAGTTTTAAAAAGTTTCTGAGTATTTTCCCGATGTGAAATTTAATATGTTTACATAAGTTTCATGAAAATCATTTCCGAAAACTTTCCTATACTAAATAATGTATTTCTGGTCTAAAAACTTCATGTTAAACCAAAATCAGACAGCTTAACTATTTTCTAACTTTATATTTCGCCTACATAATTTTTAACTGATATTTTTAGAATTTTTTTAATAAATCATGCATTCATCACATTTTATAGAAAATACATAGCAGAAGATTATATGATTCATGATCATAGTAGGAGATTACACGATTCATGATCATAGTAGGAGATTACATGATTCATGATCATAGTAGGAGATTACATGATTCATGATCATAGTAGGAGATTACATGATTACATGTTTCATGAATAATTCCAATTTTTATATATATGTACTGTATTCCTTCCCTCCTTTTACACCATTTTAGAAGTTAAGTGATAAATAGTAAAAAATATTTTTTTTTAATATTAGCATATTATTAATACAGATTCACAGTAAATGAATGTCATACTCAAAATTTTTTTAATAAATATTATATTTAACTTCAAACTATAAAACTTACTTCATTCACATACCCCTTCCACAAGCCAGAAAAAAAAATATATTTTTCATAGCTATTTATAATGCTTTGATATTACCTCAAATCCTAGGCTGAGTGTTAAGAAACTAGTGAAAATTAACCAACTTAGGTATTATCTTGAATCAAAAACAGCAGAATGAGTTGTCAGTATAATCTTGGAAAACGTAGATGAATATACACTCATGTCCATAAATTAAGGATAATTCGGAGTCACGCGGAAATCAAACTCTAAAATAAATATATCACCTGTAAAATCATTACACACATCTTCAAGAATCATATGCAAATTTCAGGAAGTAACCAGATGACACCGATGGTATGTCACAATGACGAGAGTGTAAGAGAGTGATATATAAGGAATACAGGCAAAGAAGTAAAATTGTTCGCAGGCGCTTTATAAGCATTTCAGTGCAATAACCGAATAGTTATGACACAAAGGACGCATTTGGATGATTTTTTACGTGGTAGAATTATCGGCCATCTGGAATGTGGGCATATCCAACTGGAAGTATCAGACGAACTTGGAATTGCCCAGAGTGTCATCTCCAGGCTTTGGCAAGGATTCCAAGATGATGTTAATGTGAGTAGACGTTACAGCACAGGTCGCACCAGAGTTACAACCACGCGAATGAGGACCTGTATTTGACAGTTACTACCTGCCAAAGAAACAGGCGGAGCACAGCCTCAGACCTGTCTCGTCAGCCTTTCACTTGGTATGACAATTTCAAGGCAGACCGTGTACAGACGCTTAGGGCAGATTGGTCTATATGCTCATAGACCTGTCAGATGCGTTCCACTTACTGCAACTCACTGTCGCCTGCGGTTAGCCTGGAGTAGAGAGCATGCATTGTGGACACCGAAACAGTGGGGTTGTGTGATGTTTTCCGACGAGTCCAGGTTTAGCATGCAGTCTGATTCTCGCCGGACTTTAATATGGAGAGCTCCAATAACCGTTACCACCAAGAAAACATCATTGAACGACATCGTTACGGTGGTGCAGGAGTGCTCGTTTGGGGTGGAATTATTCTGGTTTCCAGAACTGACCTGCATGTTCAAATTGGAAGCATGACAAGCCAAATCTATCGGGACGTCATTCTGGAACAACATGTACGTTTGTTTCGGGGCGCCATGGGCGCACAATTTGTGTTTATGGATAACAACGCCGTCCTCACCGTGCAAACATCGTAAGCGAATGCCTTCAATCGAAGGATATCACCCGTATGGACTGGCCAGCATTCTCACCGGACTTGAATCCAGTAGAGCACATGTGGAACATGCTTGGCCAACGAGTTGCAGCCCGTCAACCTCCTCCCATGTCTACCAGAACTTCGGAGAGCATTGCTTTTTGAGTGGTGTAATATCCCCCCCCCCAAGATCAGATCGATAATTTAATACTCAGCATGCCTGGGCATTGTACGGACTGTATTGCATCGTCTGTGAGACATACAGTGTATTAACAATCACACCAACCATGTAATATTGGTTTTTTGTAAATAAGTTTTTTTTTTGTAATTTGCTCCAGGGAGAAAAAATCACTAATTTGTTTTAATAATATCAAACATATAGCATCTTTTTTTGCTCTTTACCTTTTGTTTAATAAATAAGCTTTACAAATAAGTCAAATTTGTTTCACTTCTAACTCTGCCTTTGCCTGATTTTGCATTATCCTTAATTTATGGACATGAGTGTATTTAGTTTTCCTTGCTGCAAATGTATTTCTAAATTAGGACCATCCAAAAGTTATTATTATGTAGTGTAAAACTTGAATTAGAAAATTTAAAGTCATAAATATATAAATGTGACTGGAAGCAGTTTAGTTTTAAATAATATAGCTTCATGGCAGTAGCACTTCATGTGTTGAAGAACCTGTTAACTGGAATTCTGAGGGAAAAAAAAGTATGATAAACATCTGTTCCTATTTGGGAATGTAATTAATTTCATGTGTGAATTTTACATGCTAGCTTAAAAAAATAAAGGGGTCACTTCAAAGAGAAAAGAAGTTAAAGTGAAATCATTCTGAACTCTAAGACAGGTTTTAACTCGGTGTTATGATCTATCATGTGAGTAAATAATAAAGGAATGTTTAAAATTTGCGATTTCGCACATAAAGGTATGGAGCATTTCATTGATTTAATTAAAGTACACTTGGAAATTTTGCTCAAGAGCTTCAGTATAAAAAGGTATAAAATTACTTACAGTACATTCCCA